AGCCTGTTGCATATTCATACACCTCATACATGATGCATAAATCCCATTCAAACACAGGATTCTGTCTGGTCAGTGTCAACTTCTTCCTCTTAATCTTAACAGCACCTTCGAGGCAAGAAGAAGTTTATTTCTTCTGATAAGAGAGCAATAAATTATTATTCTCTGAAAGTTTGAGGTGTCCTGGGGCTGCTATCTCCTGTGAGTGCCTCATTTCTTTCTTAAAAAAAATATGTCCCACTTACATAGTTCTTATTTTAACTACAAAAGTTACCTTTTAACTACAAGACTGCATTTATCATATTATTAAAATGTTAATACAGCGCTGCTAATCAATACATCAAAATACACATAGTAAATATCTGCATAGAGCCATACAAAATGCACTTTTCACACTGCCTGCAGGGCAAGCCCTGCGCAGAGCCCTGGGTGGGCAGAAATGAGAAATGAGAGAAATGAGAGCAGTGTGGTCCAGAGGGAGCTCCATCCTGCAGCAGCGCCTTGCCCTGGTAAATGGTTTCTAGAGAGTGCAGTTTAAATTGACTGCTTACCATAAATCAATGTAATTAACTCGGCAGTCTATCTGGGGTGCTTGAGAGCAAGGCAGCTAAGTGAAGGCGATTGGTGATTCGGGGTAGGTGTCTCTCACTGCTTCCATTCTCCCACAGGGATTTTCCGGCTGTGTCACAGCTCATGGGGAGCGGGACATTCCCAGCAGCTGGAGCTTGGATTGCAGGCCTGGCTCCTCTGCAGCAGCAGCACTACAGAAAACAGGGAAAAGTGTCCCTGGCTGAGCGGCTGCAGCTCCCTCCAGTGTCCCTTCCACCCAAAGCAGCAGCAGTGGGAGCAGCAGTAAATGGGGAAAGAGGAGAAAAAAGGAGGAAAAAGGAGAAAAAAAGGAGAAAGAAGGAGAAAAAATGAGAAAAGAGGAGAAAAGAGGAAAAGAGATCTATCCTTGCAGATCTCCATGGGGTTCACCAGTGGGGCTGTGCTGTGGCCAAGAGCCAGAGAGGGCACAGGGGCTTTCCCCGTGGGATCAGGGCTTACTGCCAGGGCTTGGCTGCTCCCTGGGCTTGGCTGCAGGCCTGGAGAAGGCTCTCTTCTCCAAGATGTGGTGCAGAGCTCCTCGTGGTGCAGAGCTCCTCGTTCTCTCCCTGGGTAACCACAGCCTGCTGCGTTTATTCTGCCCCTGGTTCGTGTTCTCCTTTGCAGGAGTTAATACCTTCAGAAAAAAGGTCCCTGGGAATTCCATAAATAGAGGATAATGGAAGAGAACGGGGTTTCTTGGGAACCATAATTCAAGGCTTCCAGCGCTGCATTAGCAGCTCCTTTGTGGGACTGAACACGGTGTCTCTTGGCTGCCAGGTACCTTCGGCTGGGGCTGCGCTGAGGGAAAAGCCGCAGAGGCTTTGTGACTTTTCTCACCCTGTAATTTGGATCACAGCTGGGGAATTAGCCTGGCTAACAAGGTGCTCATTTCCTGCTAGATATCTTCAGTTTCCCCTGGTGTCACGCTGCGAATCTCTGAGTGACCTAAAATTAGTCCTTGTGTAAGGAAAGTGGATTACTCTGCCAGAACTGACAGAGGAAGGCTGACCCTCCCTTTGTCTCCTTTGCTTTTCCGCCTGCTCTGCCTCGCTGATTGAGCGGCTGTGTGTGGTGGTGGCGGCCAGCTGGGCTCTGTCAGCATCCCTTGGGGCTGCTGAGGTCGCTGCTGTGCCGCTGAGCTGTGCCATGTGGCCTGGCAGTGACCGTGGCCACCACTCTGGCCTGGATGGGAGAGAGCCTGCCACCATCACTGGCTGTCCCCAAGGGGCTGTGCTGGGGTCAGCGCTGTGTGTGCTGCTCTTGTTGGGCCCCCTGATGGGGGAAAACCTCCTTTCAACAGTCCTGTGCCAGGGTTGAGAGACTTTTTTTGGTCTTCACGTTGCTGTTAATTGTTATCTTATCAGAAGTCTGACATGCTGTCTGCACCAGACTTAGCGCGCAAGAAAGTGCAGCAAAAATGGCCCCAAGATGTGCAGTTTCAAGGTCTTCTAAAGCTGTTTTATCCAATTAACTCTTAAAATGTGCTTTATTTCCACCTTTCTACCATTACTAATCCTTTCTCTGTCCATGTAACCTCTGCACTGAGGCTTCCCCACCCAATCACCCTGTGCCACCAATGTTGCAGAAGAATGAGGAGGAGGAGGAGGAGGAGGAGGAGAAGAAGGAGAAGGAGAAGGAGAAGGAGAAGGAGAAGGAGAAGGAGAAGGAGAAGGAGAAGGAGAAGGAGAAGGAGAAGGAGAAGGAGAAGGAGAAGNTCCCTGCCGTTCCAGGGGTACCTCTCCGAAGGCCTGGTGACCAAGTGGTACCGCTCCCCGCGCCTCCTGCTGTCTCCCAACAACTACACCAAAGCCATCGACATGTGGGCAGCCGGCTGCATCCTGGCCGAGATGCTGACCGGGAGGATGCTCTTCGCTGGTACGTTTCTGTCTCATGTTGATTCCCTGTTCTCCTTCCCCTTTCCTTGCTACCCATTCCCAGGCATTCTAGCCCGGCCGAGGGAGCTCCCCTGTGTGAGGAGGGGAGATGCTGGTGCCCTGTCCCAGGAGGTTTGTGCTCCATGCCGTGGATTTGGATCGTGATTGCTGTCTCCAAGCTGCTTCTTTCCTTTGAGGGAGGACATCTGGATGCCACCACCCATTTTGAGGATTTACCTGTAAGCACAAATTGACACTGCAAAGGTGAAGTGCAAGAAGAGAAGACAACAAAGGCACAGCAAGGAGTTATCAGCGCAACATTCAAAGCTCGGCTCTGACATTATTGAGAAGAAAATATGTATTTAATTGTCCCAAAATTGTCCCACTGCACAGGACAGCCCAGCACAGCCCAGCCCAGCCCAGCACAACTCCCCTGGGCTGTCTCTCGTGCCTGTCTGTGCTCTGGGTGACAAGGTTTAACGCGTTTGGTGAGCAGCTGCTCGCAGAGTTGTGTAAATAAATAACCAGCCCCATTAATAATGGAGCAGGAGGAGGTTTCCCTCTCGGGTATCTCAGCACCTCTGAGCTCCACAGCCTCAGCTGCAGCTGCTCTTCCGTAATTCTTTTGTGGAAGCTTAAAAATAAGCAGTCAGTACCCTTAGGAGGAGATCATTTAAATTGCCTCCCTTTCCTTCCTTATTTTCATCCTCAATTTCTCCAAAGCTTTCCAGTCCAGGGTTTGCAGCTGTGAAAATTGTGCCTTTAACCTGTCTGCTCCTGGTGCTTCCTTGGGATTCGTTCTAGGAGCAGGGCACTGTCTGATCTTACTGGGAGGTGCTGCAGTCTCTCACTCCTCAGGTCAAACAGCAGAACAAGAGCTGCCCTGCCCACCCAGCACAGCTCCCCAGCATTTCTGGCTCTTCACGCTGTGCTAGACCCCTCTCTCAGCCCCAGCCTGGGTTTCCTTTTGCTCTTTTGTGGATCCCAGGCTATAAGTGACGTTGGCTGGCACCGCTGAGGTCTCCAAGGTGGTGCTTTAAGCTCGTTTTGTGGTAAGGCAGGGGCAGAAGCAGCCCTGGGGTGGGAGGGATGTGTCCTCTGCCTGGGTGAGCTGAGCAGAGCAGCCACACAGGAACCTCCCCGGGCTGGATCCTGAGAGCCCCCAACAGGTGCAGACCAGAGGTGATTCATTTGAGGGGATTCATTTGAGGTGAAATGAGGTGATTTGGTGACCAGAGGAGGGGTTTGGCACACCACAGGCTGGGCACACGCTGCGAGCATCCCTTGTTCTCTGCCTCGCAGCCCAATGAAATCTCTCAGTAATCCCCAGGGTGCTTGGTTAGTGGGTGGGGATCCAAACCAAGCTCAAAATACCAGCTCCTTTTGGGTGGCTTTGAAGCTGTGTCATTGTCCTGGGAGGCTCTGGCCCCCTGCTCCTTTTCCCTGCCTCCTCCTGTGCCAGCAGAGCAGGGCCCGGGCAGGGCTGGCACAGGCAGGGTGCCCTGGGGTCCTTCATTTGCTGGAGGGGAGCAAAGCCCAACCCCAGACCAGCTCCTTTTGGGTGGCTTTGAAGCTGTGTC